TCAGGAAAGAAACAAAATGTTTAGCCAGACAGACCTGCTTTGAACCCAGGGTTCACCACAGAGCTAAAATCAACATACAACTTTTTCTTCAACAATTGAATGGGCAGGGCGTCAAAAAGGTGAGGTGCTCTTAGGAAGTGCCCAACCTCCAGAATTTATAGTAATGGCAGATGTAGTAGCTGCTGTCGAGAGAATATCAAAGAGGAGATTTTTCTACCCTTATTTGGTAAATCTTACACCCACACCCAAAAGAGGGTATGTTCAATTCATGGAGAATTCAGGGGACTTTGCCACAAAAAAAGGAAAAAAAATAGATAATTTCATGTATGAGAGTGCCAGAGAGGAGATAACATTAATTTAATGAAAGGAAGCAGGTAAAGATAATCAAAAGCTGAGAAGATGAACTACGAGATACAATGACCTTAGTAGATAAAGTTAACATAGAATTAGTAGTTAAATAGCTAATATTTATTAAACACATATATGCTGATACTGGACTAAGACGTTTTCATGTTTTACCTCATTTAACCCTCATGGTGACTCAATAAAATGTAGCTATGGTTATTATTTTCATCTGATGCCTAAGGATCCTGAGTCTTACAGAAGTTCATTAAGTTGGCCAAAAGCCAGACAGCTAGGTAGGGTTAGATCAGAACTTGAACTTAGATTAGTCCAGTATCCCAGCCAAGGTTCCTCATAACTTCACTAAGCTATGTTGTGTTTAAAATTCATAATAAATTACTTTTATTTGGAGTGTCGCTGCTTATAAAGTGTATTGGTTCAGGTTAAACCACACGAAATTGCCATTTTTGTGTGTCAAAAATGGCTGAATACTGTTGATTTTATGTTTCAACCTATAATTTAGTCTTTTGAGTCAAACAGTAATTTCATTTGGGAATCGTAAATAGGGTTTTAAAACTGAGGACTCTGAGACCCAGAGAAGATTAAGGATACTGAAAAAGAGTCCTAGAAATAAAGAGACAAAGGAGGGAAAGTATCTGCGTTATCTTGCATAGTTCTCTACTGATTTCACTGCCCACGCCAAATTCCTTCTTACCTAAACTTCTCTTTGATTTCCTGCTTCCTTGTTTCTGCTCCAGCAATATCTTCTCCCCTTTCCACCCGTACACTTTAAAATCTGATGCACATATTTTTCTCCCCTAAGGCTCCCCAGCTTAACCCGTGGAGAACCCAATTTCTTCTAAATACTTTCCCATGGATCACCCCACTCACTCACTCACTGCATAATGGTATTTGTCTTAATGCTTCTGTCAGTCCTGAACTGTCTTCATATTTTTTTTCAATCTTCTGCAGTCATTGTGTAGAACTTGCCTTGTTACAGGGTTCCTTTTGATAACTTCTTTCCTCCCTTTGGTGATTCTCTGAGGCATGATTAGTGTCTACTACACAACAAATTTTACTCAAGATTTCCAGAGGAAATGGAGATCCTAAACATCACACATTTCAAACCCTTATAATACTTCTACAAAAAAAGGCAAAATAAAACTCTCTTTCACCCTGCTCCTCCTCCAGGTACCACTGTCCAGGCAGGTTCCAAACTTCTCCCAGCTTTCTGGAGCATCCTCCAAGTTTCTCCTCGTCCCCTGCTTTCCAACAGCTTCAAATTCCTTCTCTTCTTCCATGCAGTTGGGCCCTGCCTCAGCTTCTCTAATTTGCACCTTCACACTTACAACCAACAAACTCCAAACCAGCCTCTGTGCCACCTTTCTTATGAGGTAACCAAATGTTACACACAATAAGTAATATTTTCCCTTCGTACTTCTTATACATGTGTTCTTTTCTCCCAACAGCCTACAAGATCCCATATTAAACACGGTATCATTTACTTAGCAGCTACTATAGGCCAAGTAGTATGCTCCATGAATTAATCTCTATGTCTGACTCTTGCTGCACTTTATCCAGCAAGACCTAGCATTTTGCAAGAACAGGTAATATGAAAAATGTGTTGTTAAACTGTTTTCCATTGTACCAAATAATCTTTTAAAGCACCAAGAAAAAAGGATTTAAACTAGTAAGGTGAATTCTGGTTCTCTGACAGAAATAAATCCATTGTACATATTTTTAAAGATTATAAGTATTTTAAAAAGTATTTTCTGTAAATCCCTACTTGCCTTTTAATAGTGTAGGTCACTACTTATCAAAATTATAACTAAATTATTTAAAATTATGTATTAACAATAAAAGAAATATTAAAACTTCTGGCAAAAATATATCAAAGTAAGTTTTTTTATAACAACATAATGTCATTAATAAAAGACATGCAATTTAAATGATGTGCTCATACATATAAATTAACAAAACATTTTAAAAATGAAGACACCCAATGGTAGCAAGGATGAAATAAAGCAAGTATATCCACAGAGTACTAATAGGACTATAAATGGAAACCCCCCTTTTGTAAAGCAGTATAGCAACATATATCACAAAGCCCCCAAGATATTCACAGCCTTATACTCAGTATGAATAACTACTAGAAATTTATTTTGAGAAAAATAATAAAAAATTTTATGAATGAAGATTTCCCCTGCAATGCTATTTCAAATTGGTAACAACCTAAATGTATAAGAGTAGGAGTATGAATAAGTAAATTTAGAAATACCCACTCAAATGAAGGTTACACAGTATTCTAAAAGCTTAATAATAAAGGGTCATGATAATACAAAAGTCCTTTTTAAAATGTAATGGAAAAATCTGGATGTAAAATTACATATACATGTACAAAATAATCACAAATATATTAAAATATCCATAGAAAACAATGGTATCTTAGAAAATGGTATCTTTGCATCTTAGAACTCTGAATAATTTCTCTACCAGCCTATATTACTGATATTTTCATAGTAAACTTCATTATTTATAATCAGAGAGCAATAAAAAGTGTTTCTTTAAGACAAAGCTTAGTTTTACCATAACCACGGAAGCTTTCTCAGTCCTCTCTTAACTGATTAATACAACAAGTTACTGACTAATACAACAAGTAACTGACAAGTACAACATTCTGAACATTCCTAGTTAACACATTCCTTTCAGTTAACTTGTTTCTCTAAGTCACCGTAGGGCATTTTCCCAAACCAGTCAATGTCCACTACACTGATGACTAAAATTATGTAAGAGAATAAAATATTATGTAAATTAATACAAAATATCAGTAAGAAAAGTGTTGTTTCAATAAAAGGACCCAATGAAGACTAAAAGAAGGGTTGCCAATTTAGCTGCAGATGGGTGCTATGGAAAACGCTGAGAAGACATGGGAATTACGGTATCATTTCTACAAAAGTCATAAAACTCTAGAATGTTCCTTCACTCACACAACCACACAAATGCCTAAGACTTTTTTTTCAAAGAGTGAAAAACAAAAAGTGGGATCATCTATGATGCGGTCAGTGAGGTTTGTGCCCAAAAAGATGAATAAATCCCAGTCAGCACATTTAAGCTCAAAGTAAAGATCTGTCTTTTACCAAAAGTGTTATTTTTTTATGTATATTTCTTTTAAGCAAAAGTAAAATGACAAAACAGTGTATACTTTAATCAACTGTTTAGATAAACCGACCAAATACTCATTCTCATTGGTCAGATGTGAAGATCTCTACTGCATATAATATATAATATATACCCACAAGTAACTTATGATCATATATATAAATGATAATTTATTTAAACTATGTATATGCTTATAAGCAGATATATATGTGTGTATGCATATATGCATATAAAGATATAAGGGTATATATGTGTGTATATGTCTACATACACACACATATAAAACATATATAAATACCATGAAATTGACTACTCTACTGCTTTACCAAATCATGCAATCACGCAATAGACCTTTCATAAGAAGGTAATTTAGCAAACTCAAAGTGTGAAATTAAACAGCAACAATGGCCACGGTGTGTGTAGGCACCACAGTTCTGGTTCAAAGCATCTCATTTAACTTACTGTTCCTTTACCCTTATCAGCAATGGCCAGAGCCAAGGAACTTCTTGTTCAGACATCCTAAGATTCACTTTCTGGTGGGGTTCAAGGACCTAAACTTAAAGCACTTGTGCAAAGACACCATTTATAACCAACTCAGAAGCCGGCTTTAGAACTCTGCTTTGGTACGTTTCTCAGAGGTCAGTCCAAGTTTTTAGGGCTCCTTCCTCTTCAGTATGTGAAGTCAAGACTGGCTAAATGAGTTCAGAAGTCCAAATGGTGGAGAAAATAGCTCTTCTTTAAAATACATATAAGAACGTTTTGTATTGGTGAATGGGCATATTTTCATTTTTCTCCTTGGCTGAAAAGATATTAAAATGGTAACATACAGAGGAGAGCATTACACTGTTAGGTACACCGAACAGTGAGAAAACATTCCAAGTGAAGCATCAGGAGGAGTAAACCTGGCTACAAACCATTTCTCCTGCCTTTCTAGCTCTTGATCATGGGCAAGTTACTCAAATCTCTGAACCATATTTCCTCATCTTAAGAATGAGAAAACTACCACCATCCTTATGAGGTTTTGTGAAATTAGCCAAAAGCCCACGCACATGCCTGGCACACTTATTGAGTGAGAGATCAGTAAATGTTTGTTTCTCTACCTCCTCAAGTTTTGCTGTCTTAATCTAAAATAGGGTTATCCGAGGATCTATAACAGTAACATATACACGGTGGGGCAAAGGTAGGTTTACAGTTGTTTGTCTGAAAAATAATACAATAATGAATAGATAATACAAAAATAGACTCTGTTTCACATTCTCGCAGCCGTAAACCTACTTTTGCTCTATTTTGTGCACGTCAGAGACTCTGCCTCAAGTCCAACCCATAATGTTTTCTCCTTAAAAAAAATAAACAACTAGAAATACAAATAGATAACTTCATATCCAAATGTTGTTTGTTCTCTATTAATCTCATTAATCACATAAGGGAAACACTCTCCTATGTAATATATGTTTTATACACACACATCCACACAATTTCCAGTGAAATATAAGGCTCACCTGCAGTTCCAGAGAGTTCCACACTTAAGGTTCGTTCAATAGTCTTGTTCTCAAATGGGGAACCCTTGGGGTCACTGGAAGATATGGCACATTTATAAAAACAAACTGAAATGGAGTTGCTGTAGCCAAATGTATTAGAACCCCCTTCCCTTTCTGAAAATGGTTACGTTTCTTAATACTTACTTTGGTGACTCTGGGGTCAGAGGAAGCGATAAAGTTGTTGGTTTGGCTAAAGGAAAAAAAAGGAAACTAATTATGAGATATTGAGCGTTTTTTTTAGATTTGTTTTCTTTCTATAACAGTCATGTTGGAAACTGGAAAATGGAAAACAAAATTAAGGAAATCTCTAAATATTGGCTCAAAGTCAGACAACAGTCCATTATGCTAAAGAAAAATTCCACACAATATTTGCATCAGGAAACTATTGTTCAAAATGCCAACAAAAATAGAAATTAAAAAAAAATGTAGCCTCCTTGTTAAGGATACAACATTTGTATCATACCATCAGAGAGAAATAATGTTTTCTACTTTAATTTGGAATACAGTACATGGCTTGTTTAGATAAGAAAAGAGCAGAGTAACTACAAGACAACAGAACGTTATGAATATTCAGTTGATTTTTCCCCTAAAATGCATAATTTTATATCCAGCCTGAGACTAGGTATCTGTACAAGGCCAAAGCTCACACAATAACCATTACACTCACTGAAAATTAATTGTGAGGTATGGCGAGTTGTATACATTGACCCAGGCAGTTGGAAAAGGGTTCAGATCCCCAAATTGAACAGACGAGTAAAGACGAGGGATTGGCAGTAGCCACATTTTACTTGTATTATGTTTCTCTGAGAGACCCATGGATTTTCAAAGAGAGCTCATCTACTTCCTTTTACGCTTCCTAAATTTCACCTCCTACAGAAGGCACTTCCCAATTATGAAGGGTGAAGTAAGACTCTTCTTCTTACTCCAAAATTTCTATTGCTTCTCTTCAGCGGTATTGTATTTTCAACAGAAGGAGAAGAAAACATGACGAAATGTGCCCTTGGGATACATATCTATATATTATGTATATATGCTTATCTACGAAGATACATTTATACATATGTCAATTTTTTCCTTAGTAAAATAACTGCTTTCCAAAGGTCAAGAGATAGTCCTTTATGCAATGAAAACCATGGAACTGAAATCAAAAAAAGTCTTTAAAATAAACTTCTTTATTTTATGGGTGAAAACCCTAAAAAAATCTTTTGAAATGCTAAATGATATTGCCAGAGCCATAAAACTAGTCACTGGCAGAGTTTGTCCAGAATGCTTTCTTTCTCCTAATTATCAAAGGAACTGCAACCAACTGATACTACAGTAAATGAATCAACCCCAGTAATTAAGGTCTTTTGAAATGTAAAAATATTATTTACATCCAAATTAAGCTGAAATTAGGTACTTTACTTGGATAAATAGTATTTACATATTTAGTTTGTAGTCTTAGATTTAGTTTTTAAACAATGGAATGTTTTATCATCTCTCCAATGTGCATTCAGAAATTCAGAGCTCATGCTGTCTTCTATAAATTAGAAACATTGATTGATTGGCTTTTTCATATATACAGATAAATAAACTCATTTTACATTAATTTCTTACTATGTCTGTTATAATGAGCCTTTCAAAAAGAGCACCTTATGAAAAAATGTTACCTAATTTTATAGTACTCAACTAATAATTAAGATAATGTATACAGGTTCTATAGAAATGTCACCAGATACGAACCATGTACTATCTCACAACATAAATGTACATTGAATATCAGTCACTAGAATTCCAGTTTTCAAGGTGTACAGTAGGCTGTCTGGAGTGCTCAAAGGAAGACTCCCCAAATTCTGATATTTGGGTACAGGTAAGGCCAAAGGCAATGGAAAAAGAGGGATTGGTAGTAGCCATATTTAACGGGATCAAAGGTAAACAGGAAATGAGGGCCATAAGAAGGGCATAACTCAACCATGCATAGATTCTAATCCTTCAACCTGCCCAGGCTCATGAAAGCCACCACTAAAGGAGCATTGGTTTGGGTCGCTCTGAGTTTACTCCACACTGTTACCAGAGACTCTATGATCCTCTGAGGGCAGGAAGTCGTCTTTTTTCGGTAGATCATGATATTTTTGATGAATGAATACATTAGCAAATGAATGAATAAGTAAGTGGGACAACAAGCTGTGCCAAAGACCAGACCATTATCCAAGGGACTTAAAAGAACTTGACCCCATAATGTTACAAAAAGCACATAGGCAGTTCATGACAAAAAAATTATAACAGGTTAAGAAAGGTGACCTCAGTCAATCCTCTCAATTATCATCTCCAATAATTGACACAGTTTTTATTTTCAAATTTTGAATAATAATTTAAATAATCCTTGAAGCTGAGCATTTATTTCTTGTTGGCTGTTAACAGCCAGTCATGTTTATTTTCCTTTAGGCCTTTAATAACTACAAGAATATATATATATTTGTCAAAGGGCTTACTCCGAGGTAAGTTTTTATGCTGCACCACACATACAACATATACCTTTAAAAGAATCAGCATGTCTCCTCTTCTAAAGAATATTCCTTCCAATTGAATTCCTCATGGCCATCATTTGTAACAGTTTACATTAATATTTCGTGGTAAGCAAGTTTAAAAATTAAAAAAAAAAAGAACCTCAAAATCCAAAAGGACCAATTAAAGTTTTTTAAAAAATCTTTATAAAGGCCGCTGGGCTGGGTTCACTGACTACAAGGCTTTGAGGGGCTCACTTCACATTCAGCTCCAGAAAATGACCCGTGACCAGCAGGAGGGGAAGAGTGAGCCCAGCGGGCTTCCCTTCACCTGGGCCTTCCACAGCCAGGAGTCCCACCCCCACCTTGCCATCCCCCACCCCTGCCCCCCGGCATGGCTGGTTCTGCTCTAGAGAAAACTCTTCCAGAGAGTGAGTGAGAAGCCAATCAGAGCCTAACAAGCTAAGAGAATTTGTCTCCTTTTGATACATACGTTTCTATTTCCCTGAACTGACAGAAAGGAACAGGTAACCTAACTGGGAGCCAATTTAAAACATGAAAGAAAAGCTCCAGAAAATGCTGGGTTTATGGCGAGGTGGGGATGAGAGGGGAAGAGTCACAACACTGGGAAAGAAAACGTTGTTGAAAAGCAGCAGCAACAGCATACCTTTGCAAAATAATCATGGCTCAAAACATGGATGAGGGGCTACCGCTCTGCAGCTGGACGGGGAAGTTGGGAAAAACAAAAGGAAAAGAAGGTGGGTGTTTATAAATGCTTTATTAGAATAGGCCTACTTCCATTACAGGGGTAAAGGTCAAGTGCACTTGGAAACTGGAATATTTTAAAGCAACAGTAACTTTCAGTAAGTTCTTTTTAGGCCTCTAAAACTAGACTATTTTGAAAGAAGGAGCCAAAAGGGAAGAAAATTATCTTTCTGCCAAGAGAGGTTTTCCCCAAATCACCCGATCTGCCTCAGAAGTGCCAGCCTTCTAGTGACATAGAGGGATAATAAAAGATCAACTTAGATGTTTCATTTAATTCAGGCAGTGTTTTTTAAGATAGACCACAAATTTAAAACATTCTAGGAATTCCCAAATTCTTATTTACAAAATAAAATCTATGAGCCTAACAACTACTCTTTTAAAAAGGGGGGGGAGGAATGCACTTAATCACAAGACGCTGTATATTTGCTATCTACAGTTCCTTAACGTATATACACAGCACATCAACAACGCCTTATTTGTTCCATTATTGAAAGGGGGGAAAAACAAAAGCTGTGTAATGAATTGCCTAGCCCAGCTTGCTGAGAACTTCAGTTTTCTCAGCATTTTGGAGTTCACGTGAAATGCTCTCTGGGCTACAATGCTCCCTACTTTGTCACCCCCTCTCCATCCCGCTGACATTTCAGGTACCATTTGGTGATTGTGAATCGGGCTGCATATCAGCTAAATAGGATATGTTCAACCTGTGTCCAAGGAAGGATTTTTTTCCCCCATCTATAATGAAGTGCTGAATTCTCTTTCCAGAGAGACACCATGGGAAAGGAAGCCCGAAGTCTGGGCATCTTCAGCCCCGGTACCTGCGGCTTTTGCCTTTGGTCCCCAGCCTACCTTGTAAATGCTGCGACTGTGGTTGTGTGTGGGACTTCTTTTTGGAGGTGCATTTGTCTCTGCTGCTGTTCCTGGTCTCTGCGGGTTTGGTGTGAGGAGGGTCATCGTTTGTGGTCAGATACTTGAGAAGCTCTGAGCAGGGACGTCTCTGTGGCTTCTGTTGTTGACAAATGCTCTTCGCTTTATTGCTCCATGAATTCTCGGTCTTAAAAACAAGGCGTAGAGAAGGCTAAAATTAGTGAACCGAGCCTTAGCAGAATGGATATAGGTTTTCTGAAGAGATGAGATTTTCAATGAAGTGTTCAGTCTAAGTGTACTGGATCTATGAGCTGTGAATAATTGTTTGCAGAACAAGGGAAGAAAATTACATTTAAAATTCCTAAATGACATTTATGCAGCTTTTTATTTCATTTCTCCTACATTTCAATGTTCTTACTCAGCAACATGTAACTAACAAGACCCTATAGCGCCTTTACTGTGAATAAAAAAAAAATAAGCTGGTTTAAACCTTAATTTGCTACTGATTGCTAGAGCCCAGTATTCACAATTCTCTTAAGTACCCCTTAACGCTCCCTTTTCACTCAGAGTGAATGGCAAGACAAACATTGTTTAATACAGCCCGCTAACCGAATTATGTCATTGCCAGCATTCCATCCAATTAATGGCAGAGATAGATCTTTCACGGTGATTCTGGAGCAATCTTTCTCAGGTTAGACAGCTGGCAAAATGGCAATCCTGCATCTTAAAGTCACTTATAGATAATACCAGCCTATCAGCCAATTAAAGCCTAGCCCGCATTGCTGCACGTATTCACAAAGTGGGCAAGGAGTAACAGACGGTGGACCCTCCATTCCAATTGTCCAAAGACAAATGAACTCTCCCTAGTTTAAATGAGTGAGCGTGCAGCTTTTGAAAACTCATTTCAAAATCGGTTTTACCATCCTGAAGCAGCTGCAGGATCCCAGCAGAATGAACACATACAAATAAAACTACAATTTGTTTGATAGCTTCAAGCAAAAACCCTTTGTTACCTCCCCTCCTGTGTTAAGAAGTTTACTTTTGTACCTTAACGACTGCAGGGTTTGTTCTGATCCTGTGATTATGGTTTGCATGGTTCTGGGCACTGAGACCACTGCATTCATTATAACTTAGCTGAGTGTTGGCTGGTGCCAGTAAGAGCTTCTTGAGCTAGAAGAATATCAGAGAAGGGGAAAGCAAGAAAATTATAAGTCATCTAAGAATTCGAATGAGTTATTAATATTTTAACCTTAAAATTAATTAATTTTTACTATAAAAAGTAATTCTATTACTCTTTAATTACATCACCCCTTACCACAAAAGCACTAACAAAAATTTCTTTTTAATAAGTAAAAAAAAACTTTGGCATCACACCACCAACTGTAAAGGATTTCCTTTTCCTACAGTCAAGACTTAGTATTACTACCTAAATTTTTCTTTTACATAAAAAAGGCAAAAGGATCTTCCTAAAAGGACTTCCAAATCATGACTAGGTGAGAAAAACTGCCTTGCTCAATGAGGACTTGGGGAGTGGAGATGGAATATATAGACATTTTCCCCTGAATAATCCAAATTTACCAAGTGGCAATAAAGAAAAGATCCTGTGGTGTTTTGAATCAAGTTGCAGAGTCAAGTACACCACTTCACTGATTCAAAGGACATTTGGATAAAAGAGGGGCTATCACTGAAGAAGATGTGTGAGTAGCCAGAGACTGGAGATGTGGATTTTGGTCCAGGCAAAGCATTGACTGTCTCTTGACCTCTGCTCCTTTGGTTGAGTTGAGGGCCTTCCAGGACCTCCCTGCTTGGACTCCGTAGCATGACTCTAGGTCAACCACGCCTCCCGGCTGAACCCATTGTGTGAATGAAAATCATCTGGTATCAATGCTAAAAAATGGAGTCCTAGACAGCAAAGACAACTATACTGAAAATTGGAGAAATTAGGAAATACATAACAATCACTTATGAGATATTTTCTCCCAGACTAGAATTCTCAGAAGGCAAGAGATTCAAATAGGATCTCCATCTGTTTACACAGAGTGCTTTTAACATTTAAAAATTTAGAAATGAGAAGAAATAACCTCTAAATGGCATGTCAAAGCACATTAGTAAAGTTTGGAAGATGGTATTCTGTAATTTACATAGTATGTTCTCATATCAGATTTACAGCAAATGACAAATGGTTACCACAGATGAGAAGGTAAATCCGTGTCTCAGAACTAATAAAATTCTGGTCAAGCACTGCACTGAAAAGAAAATTCACCCTTCATTCCCAACAAATTTACTCTTCATTCCTTACCAAAATTTTTGTAACTTTGGTTGCAAATGTGCTATTGTTTTTCAATCTTCGTAAGAATTATGGATGCAAATCCTTAAAATATCACAAACCCTTGATATACCTTCTATTTTTAGAATTTTATACATAAGAATAGAACTACAAATATGTCAATTATAATACAATTTATGATAGTAAAAAGTGGGGGGGAAAGACTAAATATCTAAACCATAGGGATTGCTTAATAAATCAGGATATCTTCAAATAATAAAATACTATACAACCATTAAAAATAATGAGCACATTTAAAACTCACAAACTTATTGATGATATATCTTAACAAAAGAGGAGATTGCAATAATTTGCATATTACAAGTTATTAGAAATTATAGATGAATTTTTAGTCTAATTTTTTTGGTTGTTCACATTTACTAAATTTCTACTATGAACATAAATAATACTAAGAAGTAAACACACACTCATAGGCGCAATAATTCTAAAAATGCAGTAAGATCACAGGAAGACTCTATTATCAATCATAGTAAACACAGAATTGCAGAATATGCAACTCCGAGGGTGCTGGGGGATTCTTTCGGCATCAGTCCCAATTAAAAATCCAGACCTTATTGTTCCTACATCATACCCATGCAGCGGGTAGCCAGAGGCAACTCCAATTCCTGTTAAACAGTAGGAAGGGTTCTTACTAGAGACGGCTCTTCGGCCTCCTGAGGCGGAGGGGTGCCGTCAGGCATGGAGGAAGGACTAGCCTCATTCTCAGTGGTCACATCTCCATCTGTCAGTGCATCAAATGAGGGCAATCCGTCTTCATCCACAGGGAGGCTGTCCAGTGTCTCTGTGAGGACTGCTAGCAAGTTCGCCTCATTTTCTTCATCTATCTTCTGCAAAAACAGAAAGACAGAAGATGTGAGTGGACATTGGGAGATGGGTAACGCTATTAATAGCGTAGATTGAACATGTTTAGCCAAATGAGTAAACGATACATGAAATTTGAATGTTCATGCCAGAACGCAAAGATCGTGTCTTCCTCAAACTCCTAATTCAGTTTTGGTCTGAAACACACAATTAATTAGTACCTCTACTGTACCAATTTCTGATTGTCCAGCTGTCCAACTTAGCAATGTATTATGTCAGTGCCTAATGTGGCTGTATACAATTGTGTCTTGTCCACGGTCATTTTCCACATGTCTGTGTCTTAACTTCCCTAACTACTAGATGATTTAGAGTTGCAGGACCCAAGAGAATTTTAACCACCATCCACTTCACCTTCACATATGCATTTCAATCTCGACAGCCTACCTGCCAAAATGCATAGAATGCTATAAACATCACCAGAAACCAAAACTACACCAGGAGAAACCATACACTTTGATGATTTCAATCACAGTGTCATCACTGAACCCTTCATATTTTACATATTTTTTCCCCTAACGTCTTTCCCAACTTTGGTTGTACATCTATCACTGTATCCTGGACATTTCTACCTGAGAATAGCTCCCTCATCTCCAGAACCCAAACTTACGACCTTTCATGGCAAAATTACTGTTTCTCTTGACTTCTCACGTTTGGGGAACAATTCTTCAGACCTAAACGCTGGAACTACCTTGAGTCCTCTCTCTCTGTCCCATCACTAAATACATTCTTACTTTGTAACATCTCTTGAAGGCATTCATTTCTTGAGGCCAGGGGTACAATTCTCAGGCAAACTCACTTCTAATGGGGGCTCCTCCAAACAGACTCTAACTCATCTTCCCACATCCATTCCCACCAACACACCCTTGGAAAGGTCATGTTCACTTATTCACTGCACAAATATTTTCGAACACCTCATCTATGTCAAGACCATGTTAGATGTTGAAGGTACAAAAAGAAACAAGGTAAAACTCAGACCTTCTACTACAATGGAAGGGAAGAACCTGTAAACAGCAGTGTATTATAAAAAATAATATCAAGTTCAGTACTTTCAAGATTTCCCAAACTGGAACATGTGCACCATTTTTATAGGGCAATGTGCCATATTCATGCACCTAGGCAACCAACACCGGGCACAGAGTATGGGTGTAGTTACTGATTACTTGCTGAATAAATAATTCATTGGTCTGTATTTATGGCATAGAATATATGTTGTGTATATTACTTTTCCCCTTCTTTCAGCACTTCACATTGTTTGTCCAATTTGAACTTTTTAAGAAATTTCAGTATGCTATGACCCTAACAATAGCTAAACTGTCTCAAATAGGTTCCATTACAAAATGCAGCAAAGCTGCTGACATCTAAAGAAGCCAGTGGGGCCCAAACTTCCTTTCTCTCCAGCACTGAACTCCAGTTAATTGACCTGACAAAATTACAAGAATCACAAACTAAGACAGCTAATCAGAAAATCAAAATGTATTACTAGAGAAATTAGGCCTTTATCAGGTGTACATTCTATTTTTACATTAAAAATTGTTTTTCCTCATTACTGATGAGCATCCAGACTTTTTTTTTTTTTTTAATTCAAGAGGCTAATAAGAGCTTTTTGCTATTCACAGAAGACTCCACTGGGCATTTTTCTGCATTTGCATATGGCTTCTCCCTCATGCCGCTGGACTGGACTTGATGTTCTGACTGGGGTGACAACTCTGTGATTAAGACTCTAATGCACAAGGTGAAGCCCAGTCAGAAGGGATATAATGTTCGCTTCAAAATGGTTCCTCATCCTTCCATAAACTGACCATTTCCTTAAAATCCAAATTGCTTAATTCAATAGTAAAACCTCACTGAACACCCTTCTTCTTCCCTCAGTTTTTTTGGACAATGTAATTTTAATAATAAAGACACTGAAATGACACTTCCTTATTTTCTAGCCAGAATTGTGATTTGGTAACCAAAGATTCCAATCTTCTTTTTTTTTTTTTTTTAAAGATTTTATTTATTTATCTTTAGAGGGGATAGGAAGGAGAGAGGGAGAGAACTGGCCTGCAACCCAGGCATGTGCCCTGACTGGGAATCGAACCATGGTTGCTTGGTTCCCAGGCCCGCGCTCAATCCACTGAGCCACACCAGCCAGGGCTCCAATCTTCTTTTTATTTTAATTTAAATTTCACCTCATACCAAAAATATCAAACCAGGTTATTAAACTGTCCTAAATAAAAATCATAATTCAATTAAATATATAATATTTTAAATATCCCTAAGTCATGAAATTTACATTAATGTAAATATCTCCATACTATCTAATTAAGATAATTTTGAAAATGTCTCAGACACACACATAAACATGCACACTTTCAGTCAATTGGACATTTTTTTCCTAAGTACCCCAATTTTATAACAGTTTATTTCAAGTTTAAAATTGTTCAAGAAAAAATAGTCAAGAATATTTACTAGAAGATGAGCAATTTTGTTTACCCTAATTTAAATGTTGTGTTTGCTTTTCTGCAATATTACAAGTCTCTATTTGCTTTCAATCACATAATACAATAGCGCCTTAGTTTTATCCCTGGTGTAAACAAACCACAATAATTCCAGTCAAGTCAAAATGACAAAGAACACTTATATTAACTAGTTTTTTCCAATTTTGTTAATAAGCCAGGGTGAATGTAAACCAAATACAACGGCAGAGACACTGGAGCTTGATAATGTTATAATTAATTTATGACATCTGATGAAACCACCAACTATTTTAATTCTCCTCTCCACTGGAAACATGAGGAGGAGGAGAGTGTTGTGGGATGGAAGATTAGAATCGTGTGCATCTTGGGGTATGTCCGTAGAGGGGCTGGTATTCGACTAGTGTGGATCAGTAGGGCTTTAATCACTGTTTACAGTCAGGGTCCATCAGAAGTAGTTTAAACCTTCTCATTATCAGCCCTATATGTGGATGACTTTAAGAGGTGCTCCAAGGCCTATTACTTTAGGACAGTTGTTCTTGAACCAAAGAAGAAAAGAATGTTATTATTTCAAATTCTCTGTTTTCTTTAACTATAAAAGAATGGGGTTGGGTGGCGGTGGAAAGTCTGATCTATATGTGGAAAGTCTGATCTATATCAAGCATACTTTTCTGTGGAAGCCCAACAGATATTCCTACATCTAAACTTAAGTGGACACGGCTTCTAACCATGGTAATTTTGAATAGTTCACATGAGTTTCAACAAACACCCCCAAGAAGGCAATGGATGTGACAAAAAGAACTCTGTTAAACAATTAATGTCACTTTCCATTATTGCTTTGGTCCCAATTTACAAAGCAAATAAATCAAAATTATTGCAGATGAAGCCCACTGGCCTAGGAATATATGTCTGTTCACAAGCGACAGGTCATAGAAACACATTACTCAGTAAAACGACATTGCAAGATAACCTTTCAAGAAAGCCTCAGCTCCGCTATTGCTTTCTAGATACTGAACATGACTGTTGTAACAAAAAATATACTTATTGGCCTCAAATAAGTTTTTAAACAGAAAAGCAGCGAGGTGAGAAGGAGAGAGCAGGTCACCGGTTGGGAGGGATATGTAGCTACACAGACTGAGCTCGGTTCTGCAGCTGGCCAACTGGCATCTCCGCCATTGAGCTAGGGGACATCCAGCAGCATATCCCATGGTGGGGGCCAGCCTCAGGCTCTCCTCACACAATGCTAGTAAGCTGTTGTTCTTCCAGCCCAAGGAAAGCTATGTGTGACTGTAACTGTTCATTCTCTAAGGGCTCTCTAAGAATAAAGAAAGCACATCGACGAAAACTTACTCAAGGTATAAAGAATTTCCAATGATATGCGTACATGAACATGAACAACCCAGATTTAGAATGTGCAGTAACTCCAAAGCAATGCCATATCCTTAGTAAATGAGAGTTCAGAACAGTCAACGAAATCCAAAGGTTCGTGACTGCTCTTTGGGACTGCTGGGTCCCTATGTGGCCTTTTCAGAGTGTGCTATAATCCCAAAGGCACAATTAACAGAAGGTACATTCTGCCCCTTCCAATGCCCAGAGTCACCTCAAAATTGAAATTTTGGTTACAGGCTCTCTTCCTTTGTGAGCAATTGGCAAAAGGATCTTCCAACTGGTTACACATCCCCCAGCAGACAGTGCATTTGACTCATCCAACTGCACACAAAGAGTGAATAAATCCACTAAATTAAGGAGGAGGTGAGGGACTTTGAAATGCTAACCAACACCTAAGGGAGAAACCCAGAGTGAAAACGACATGTGGTATCCCCGAGATTTCTAAATGCAGGCCATTATGTAAGGACCATGCCCTGCTCATGATAGTAATTTTTTCCACCTCTTGTAGAATTGCAATTACACTCTGTGTCCCTAGATTCTCACACTCGCTTGATCTCTGTTTGATAAAAATAGTTTAATAGCCATTTAATCACAGCTTCATTATCTTAGCTCTCTTAATGCGAATTAGGCCAGGAGAATTCTTGCTTCCTCATTATTCAAATCATCAATAAGAAGGAAACAGGGGGGTCTTCTTACCACTCATTAATCAGTTTCAGTATCTTAGGTACTGTTTACTTAGGGATCAATCTGTGCGAGAGGTCACTTAACCTCTCTGAGCCTCTATTTTTTTTCTATATAAAATTTCAGGTTATTATCTGCCTCATTCCTAGTACAGAATTTTTCTGCACTCAGGATTAATCGGCAGATAAAAAGAGTGGATAAAGGTCTACGAATTCTTGAAGAAGGTGCTCAATAAACATTTCCAGTGCACATGTCCATCCTCTTGATTACCAACTCGAATTTCATTCTTTGAGCCAGTCTAACACCAACTTTTAGCCCAGGGCCAGCTTCCTCCCAAATACCCAGCATGCCTTGGGCTTCCTTCTTGCCCCATCCAGCTGATTTGGAAGCAGCTAATGAAGACAAAATTAACTCCTACTTTAAGTGAGGCCTAATTAAGA